AAATATAAATAAAAAAAAAAAAAAAGTAACACATAAAAAAATAAAATAAAATAAAAGTCACATATAAAAAAAGGGGAAAAAACCCCCCCAAAATGTTTAACTCCCCCACCCCCACGTTTACGCGCCTATAAACGTAAATACGCGTCCGGTGCCCCAGCGCGCAAAAATTACAATTGCGCTACACATGTTACATATCGCCGCGAACGTCGCAGTGAGAGCAATCATTTTAGGGCCATCAATCACTGATAACACTAAACTGATGAGCGGTAACAGCTTTTAAAGCGTCGCCTATGGCCAATTTTGGGTATTATCGTTTTTTGAGGTTTCGCGCGCGCACGCAATTTTAAGGCTTGACATGTTTAGTGTCTTTTTACCCGACGTGACCCCATCTTTTATATTTTACCAAAAAATTGGGTAATAATAAATGTTTTATCATTTAATATAGGGGAAACTGTTTTTTTTTTTAAATTTCGGTAATTTTTCCTTAATATAGTAAAAAAAATAAAACCCCCAGTGGTGAATAAATACCACCAAAAGAAAGCTCTATCTGTCCCCAAAAAAGGGTATAAAATTCATTTCAGTACAGCGCTGCATGACGGAATAAATGTCAGTCAAAGTACCGCAGCGCTGAATACTGAAAAATGGCCTGGATGGGAAGGGGGTTTAACACCGCGGATGTCAACTGGTTAAATACCACCAGCAGGTTTAGTTTAGCCTTAAAACTAGCTATACTGTTGAAATGATTTTTCTTTTGTCTCATCTCAGGTAATTTCAAAATTACCTTATTTTTTTCTTAAAATTGTAAATTTTCTCAGTTTAAACATTTTGATATGTTTTCTATTTTCTATTGTGAATAAAATATGGGTTTATGAGATTTAAAAATCATTGCATTCTGTTTTTATTAAGATTTTACAAAGCATCCCAAATTTTATGGAATTGGGGTTGTACAATATGGACTAATCAACCTCACTTCCTTGGACATTCCTTCCTGTGTTGCTGGGGTTTTAGGAATGCAGAGCATATTCCAAATGCAAAAAGGTAAATTGTAAACTTTGTAAAAAATTACCACACATTTTTGTGTCTTTGTCTTTATTATCCCTAGTGCCATGACTGCACAGTAGCTGCCATAGGCTGTAGTAAAATTCTAAAGGAGCTCTCAAAAGAAGAAGATGACACAGATACATCTGAAGACATGCTGGCTTTGGCTGAAGACTATGAGCAAAAAGCCATTGGTACGTGAATAGTTTAAAGTGATGCATAGTGTTAGGTTAATACCTATGAAGTGTAAAGCGGACCTTTACACTCAAAAATCTAATTCTACCAATGCATCCCTCTATGTATGATGATTAATAATAATAACATAGACATGTCAGGTGTTAAACACTGTGATTTTGAAATACTTACACTTGCAGAACATTCACTTCCTGGATTGAAAGTGCAAATGACTTCAGTTTGCCAAAGCAATGCACACTGGGATTGCCTTGTCATCAGAAGAGCATTGCTGGGAAATCTCATCTATAATCTCAGGAGATCTCAGGGAAAGGCATTTTCCTCCCCTGAGATGGTGTGCATGGTCACATGTCCTAGTCACATGTCTAGTCACATGTGCCAGTAATCCAGGAAGTAATAGGAGAGCTAGTAATCTGCCCTTAGTTAACATGGCCACTGTCAGAAGACTGGGAAAGAAAAGAAAAATAAGGTATGCAAAGAGTACAAAGCCTGCACTTATCTAGAAGTATGTGTTTGTAGATTGTCATTACTAAACATTTCTAAAGGTATGTTTGTTGTTGTTTTAAAGATATGGGTAAAGGTCCGCTTTAATAGGAATGTTATTATTTTATTTATGTTAGCTTTCATGATTTTAAATGTCAGTTATATTTTACAATGATATTATGCAACATCAAACTGCATATTACATAAAACAGTTTATGCTTGGAAGTATATTGACTTGTTGCCTGTTATCTATTGGCAACTTGGATTTTATGTTTCTTTTGTAACCTATTGTTTTTTATGTGTCCATAAGTTTTCAAATACATTCAATAGACCTTTACACTGACTTTGGTATATTCACTCATGTTGCTTCACTGTTCAGCTTAAAGTATGTCTAAAACCAAAAAATTGTTCTTAGTTTTGTATAGAGTTAAGGAATGGTTAACACCCCTGTCAGTTTTATTGCCTTCTGTGTCCAATTGGATAGTGTAATGCTCCCTCTATTACCAGAGGTCAGAGACTATAGCTGGTGGGTGTTCCTTCACCTATAACAGCCCTTGTTTCCTGGAGGAAATCTGGTGTTCTGGTACTTGGTTCCCCTAGGGCTTAATACACAATGCCATTTTCTGTGGACAAGTGGTACAGGGGACTGAGCAAGGATATAGAAAAGAGTATCTGTGGTGTTTAAGACAATTAAGCGTGCACTGCAGGAAAGCAGCCGGTAGCAGGGTCCAGATGCAGTTGGTGGTCAGGTTGCAGACGATAAGCATAATCCAGAGTCAGGCAGAGGCGAGGGTAAGCAGCAAGCAATAATCATTATTGTAAAGCGTTGCACAAACTGTTGGCGCTATATAAATCCTGTATAATAATAATAATCCAGGGATGAGTCAAAGGTCAGGACAGGCAGCAGATGTTAAGTGTAATCCAGGAACAGGCTGAGGTCAGGGCTAGGCGGGAGAGAAGAGAGTAATACAGGGACAGATTAAGTTTATTACAAGATGACTGTGGCCAGAGTTAGGGTTTAGAGGGTTCAGTGCAGGGCCAGTGTAGACGAGACTACCACCCTAAGCTGAATGCTTGTGATGCTTAAAAAGGGTGTCTTCAATGTAATAGTCAATCAGGGCAGAAGGAACAGAGCGATCCGAACCGACTGCTTTCCAGCAATGGGGACTCTGTGTAAGAGAGTACTGCTGATCAATCAGAACGAAGGGTGATACTGGCAATGCAGGGCCTGTTGCCTGGCAACCAGCCCAAGCCAGAGAGAGAGAGACAGTGGCACAGTGGGCCAGATGGGAAGGCGGGGACCAGCTATGCTGGACCACAGAAGACACTCCTAACAGAGAGCTTTTCCTCCACTTCCTGCCCTGTAGAAATAACTGGAAGTCATACAAAATTGGACTGATTCACTAAAGGACTTAGGACTCTTCACAAAATAAATTGTGTGAATAATCACTTCAATTATCCAATCATGTGCATATAAAATAATTAAACAGGAGTTTACTTTTCACATGATTGGGTAATTACAGTAAATATTCACACAATTTATTGTGTCAAGATTCTCAACTCCTTTCTAAATCAGCCTCATTGTCTCTAATATCAGGGGAAATCCATCATAAATAGCCACCAAAACAGATGTCTCCATTGGAAGATTTTCCCAAATCTCTCGTAAAAAGCCACTGAAACAAATGTCCCCATTGGACATCCCTGTTCCAGTTACAACTGAAAAATTTTCTAATTTTCTAATTTTCCATAATTTTTTTGAGAATGGTTATTCTCCCCAGGGAGGTCACATGCAGCACTAAAAATCTGACAGGGGTTTTAACAATTCCACTCTCTATCTGAAACAATCCAATTCCTGCAAGTCGACAGAGTTGTCTGGGGTGTGGTGCATCTCCTCCTATTGGGAACCTTTATCTGTAAAATTGGGTGTCAGTCCAGGTATATGTCAATGACAGCCAACATAATTTTCCTGTAAATGCAGGTGTTTTCACTGAAAGCTACAGAAAAGATGAGGAAAGAGCTCTGAAACTACTTATACGGGTTTCTGAAGCCTGGGGACAAACCACCTGTCTGAAATTAGCACTTGAGGCAAAAGACATGAAATTTGTATCTCATGGAGGTGTCCAGGTAGGTTTGGTTACTGTCGATAAAGTCTGTTTATATTTTATATAAATGCTAAATCAGGTCTATCATCAGTATTACAGTCTGAAGAAACAGCAAACTAATTGTATAGTCATCACACATACACAAAACCGTATGTTTTGTAAAGAAATAATAGTTGTCAAATTCCAGTACTGATTATCATGCTAAACTGCATGTGACATTGTGCATCCAATTAGGATTTTATAAGGCATGCTGTAAAGAGTTTACCCAATACAAGTGAACAAACACGCTTGTTGAGAATAACCAGGATAGTAAAGACTCCTTTCAATTACAAATCTTGCATTTGATGCTGATCTGGGGGAATTTTTATTGAATTGTACAGGACATCTGAGGCTTAGTATGAGGACTGCCATTTCCCTGGCTGTGTCTGCCTTCAATATGTTTGAGTGGCAGACCTGCAAGACGTTCACTGTAAATGAGTGTTAGAATTCCTTATTGCTACATTTGTAACCCCCCTTGACCTCTAGTAGCATATGGGGGACCTTAGAGGCAGGGTGGGCTGACATTTCACCTCAGGGATGAGTCCTTAGCTGGTTGTGGGATGTAAATGTAAAGTTGGAGGCTAGTCACTTTAAGGATTTTTAAAGGTTTTATTTCATTAGCAACTTAATGAGAGAGAGGGTAAATAGCTACAGACATCTAGAACCGTACAGAACTCCAGACTCACCGACCACTTCCCAGCTTCACAGTGCAGAGAGCCTTTGAATCGATTGCAATAACACTGTGTATTGTAGAACCTTAGATGGTCAGTAAACATAGAACAGAATTTCCTAGACGAGACACCTGACTTCCTGCGAGGTCCAAGCCCATCCTGGCTTTCCTGGCACTTCCAGCAGATGAAGTTCCTTTCTGGTTCTCTATCCCAGGAACATTTTCAGACCTTGACCGGGTTCATACTTGACCACCTGCACGCTGCAGGCTTGGTCAGATAGCTTGTAGAACACATCACATCACGCACCCAGTAGGGGGGGGGGAGGCTCTACAAGGTCAGCCCCAAATATTTATGTCCTCTCCCAGCATGCACCACTGACCCCATGAACCTCCTAGTTATTGGCTAGGGACACACACATATTCATAACTATTATTGGATGATCTGCTATGTGGCAATGTCACACCCAGCAGCAGACAAATGCAAAAAATAACAGAGAGCTTAGAAGAAACCAAATGAGCCAAGACTATCAAATGGCCTAGACTGGAAACAGTCCAGCAGAACTATATTTAAGGAGTCACCCCACTTAGGGTAAGGTGGCTACACATTTATTTTTTAAATCAGATTTTAGTTATTATTTTACAACAATTTCATATACAAAAGAAAATAAAGCAGAGAGTCAACCATATAAAAATACACTCATCCCTGCCCTAAACAAAAATGAAAACATTTGTAAAGAAAATAAAAATAAAATGTTCTCTCTCAAATACATATTTGAGAGAAAACATATACAACTACCAGTAAAGGCACATAATAAAAATAGCAGCAATTAATTAAAAAAAAATTCCTTCACTGTCCCCTATCACCACTTAAGAGGAGGTCCCAGAGGAGAGAAGCACAACCATAGGACATGATATCCATGTAAGAAATATAAATGTAAAAAGATATTATATATAATTTCTGCTTATTTTAACTCTAACATTAGATCCAAGTCAGACGCTCAGAAAGCATTAATGCAAAAGCATCAGCATGACAGCAAGGGAACCAACATTGTCAAAAATGAGGTCAGACATGGCCCCATGCCTTTCTCATGACAGAGTCATTTTAATAACATATTTATTGCCGTAAAAGACCTTGATCATAGTAGTAGACATGTAGGCAGGTTTTCCACTTTCTTTCTAAAAGATTGATAGCTGATAGATTCCAATTAAATAAAAGGACAGCAGGCATCTATTTATTGCCCATGTTGCTGCCATGCAGATGCTGGTGCATATTGATGACTTATCATTGATTATGCATCATTAATTATAATTCAAACCATCATGCATATTGATAAACTGACCTGCAGATTGATGAAAGTACGTCTGCCAATCTGCAGTCTCATGACAAGGAATGGGGAAAATTAACTTTAGAGATAGCATATTGGAAATTGTTTTAAAGAATAAAGAAGTATATTCATAGACAATGGTTTTATTTATTTTTTCTTCGTAATCCCTTGTCCTTTACATAACCTAAAGTTTGTGATGAATAAGTACAAACTTTGCACATCTCTGCTAGTATTCAGCCATCAGAACTTGTCGCCCATCCCAATTCTCTTAATGGAGCAACACATTTTCCCAGCTACAGTGCTACTTTTTCTACCTGAATGATCACTAAGAGGGGGTAGAGAACAGTAAACTTAGACTGAAGACTGCACAATCTCATTGATGCTCCATCTTGTAGAATAATTATTACTAGCGACTAACAAACTGACATCCTCAAACAGTCCAATAAAAGAGTTTCATTTCCTACAGGCATTTCTTACTCGGGTCTGGTTTGGAGAGTTAAGTGTCGACAATGCATTATGGAGGGTGATAGTTTGTATGCTATTTTTCCCTCTCATTTATACACGTCTTTTAACTTTCAGGTAAGCCAATGATAAAGGTGAGCAGTGATTTATAACTAAAGAATGCGATAAGCGTTATACTTTGATAAAGGCTCATGTCAGGGCTGTCCCTATAATAATTCTCTTTGGGTCACACGGGGGAGCCTGGCAGGGAAATAAGGGCCATACACCTCTTCCCTCCCAGCTCTTAGAACCAGAGCGATCTTGCCGGCACCCCACACAGCTCTTGACAACCAGTGACATCACTGGTTGCCAGGAGCTGAGTTGGATGCTCTGGCTGGTGTTTCGCCTAGGTCTTGGCAACCAATGACATCACTGGATCCCAGGAGCTGAGTGGGAGACTCTAGTCAGTGTCCTGCCCAGCTCCTTGCAACCAGTGACATCAGTGAGCTAGGTGGAACAGAGGACATAGCTGGAACGTGACCACCAGCCGAAACGTGACCACTAGCACCGCAAAAAAAATAAAAACATCACCCACTGTAGTGCAACCACCTGCTGCCTTAGACAGCAATTATGCTAATGACACCTCTGGCTCATGTCTTTCTTTATGTCTGTTTTTACAAGTACCTGTCATACTTACAGTCCTTATATTTAACAATGTTATACATTATGTTACTTAGCACAGTTTTATATTTTACATCAAAACATATTTTTATTATGTTATCTAGTTAAGTCTTTGGGGGAACATGTACTTTGCCTATTAAAGTAAAAGTAAATATTATAACCAACCACTGATGTATACCTGTCTCTCCCCCTGCTGACCCATACGCTTGCCAGAGCTAAGTGAAGCATAATTTAATAGAGGAACTGGACACAGACACTTCCAAAGAAGTCAGTTCATATCAAGCTGCTTATATGATTAGTAACTGCTCTTGGATTTAAAGGAAAGCAAGCAAAAGTGTTAACTGGTTATATATAATGATGCCAACTGCTCCTCTATAGTTACAATTCCCTGCTTTTAAAATGAGAAATTTGACAGAATAGATTATCACTTGCAATATAATAGATCTCATTATTTCCATAGAATTTTGTGGTTTACTTACTTTAATTAGAGGTGCTTTCTTTATCAGAGGTTCCTGAGCTACAGTCTAACCACTTTAACCCAATTATATTTCCTTCCTGAACACCATTTAAACTGCATAAAAAGAAAATTATTATCCATATGATGGGCAGTAATCTGGGCTAACAATGATGAGTTGAGTATGAAAGGAATCTAATGTCTGTTATATCCAAATTGTATTCAAATATCATCACAGGAAAGATGAGGAAATCATTCAGAATCAAGTTATGAAGAAAGAAAATAACACACATGACATGTTTCCTGTGGAATGTACACCTGGGGAGGTAGTAACAAACAGTTTGTCATCAAGATAAGTATCTCTATATGTAAGATATATTTTTAAAGTGCTGCCTTAATGGCCTTTATGGGCATGTTTTAAGTGATGCCTAAAAAATGTCCATGTTGCCCAAAGTTATGTGGCATGCTAGGGGTTCCTAACAGAGAATTAAGGTAGTTTGTCAGCGTTAGAATCACTCATCATCTCACAGATGTAAGTATGTATGTTTATACTCTGTGTGGACCCTCTGGCGATTGCTTTATCTTGGCAAAAAGTAGTGATAAGCTACTGTTCCCTGATCAAACAACAATTGCCATGGACCTATGTCTTCAATTCCTCTGTAGCTAGAGACTGAAATTTTGAATGAACCTGTTAAAATGTTATATGACAGATAATAAGACACTGGTCAATCTTGTTTATCAACATTCTGCAATACAGAGTAATGAATATCCATTATAAAAAAAGGAAACAATGGTCACATGCAAATTGTCCATTTTTTATTTAAAAGGAGGTGGTTGATTTCCAAGCATCCATAAATGTTTCACTATTGCGCTTCATATGTGTGCTTTGTTTTTCCAGTGCATGTAATGATAGTATACAGTTACTGTAATTTAAAAACATATACACCAGGAAGATTTTCCAGCAGTGAATGTTTGGTGAATTTTACATTCAATGCTATATGAATATGCCCGCTACTGTCAAAGCATATTAATGTCAAGTGTTACTCTAATAAATTATTAAATAAACTAAAACTTTAATAAATAAACTAATACATAAGTACTTATAAAGGCAAAATAGATGTTTACAGAATATTGTTATTTTTCCCTTTTAGGCCTCCCACAGCCCTTCAAAACATGACAGGCCGTAAAATTACAAACTGCAGAAGCATGACTGAACGTTTCCAAGCCTTCTTCATGGCACCAGTAGTCATTTTTCATCTGAACATCTTATCATACTTTGGTTTTCTGCTGCTTTTTGCATACGTGTTGATGACTGACTTTCAGCCCGTGCCTTCCTGGAGGGAGCATATCATCTACTTCTGGCTCTTTTCGCTTGTTTGTGAGGAAACAAGACAGGTAGGAACACAAGGACATATCCACAAGAGTTCTACAAATTAAAAAATATATATGTATTTCTGTGTCCTTTGTATTATAAAAGTAAACTATGTTTCCTGAGATGTTGCAATAATACAAACTGCTTAGAAAAAATGTAAGCATATAAAACGTTGCTAAAGCTTAAGAGTTGGTCTGACAGTGAGGGTGAGTATAATGCTACACGTGAATAAGAAACTTATAGTATGCCTAGCAAAATCAGAAAATTGTTTTTTTTACTGACTACTATATTTTTCTGCAGTGCAAAAAAAATATGCTCAGACTAAACAAGCTGTATGTAATATAATTCTACATCAGGTTACTTATGCTGTCGGTATAATTCTGTTCTCTTAATCTTAATGGGCAGCTTCGAGGTCCCCCTCCCTGTCTTAGCATGATGAAGATGGCTTTTACTATAAAAGCTGAGTACCACACTTTAAGCTGAATAAGTAATGGGGAGGATGAGCAACACACTTAAAACTTTTTCCCTACTGCTGTGTGAAGTAGTACTCTGAAGATATAATAGGTGATGCAAACTGCTGGGCTTCTGATTGGCAATTAGCAACTTACAATAGTCTAGACCAGGGATGTCCAAACTGCGGCCCTCCAGCTGTGGTGGAACTACGAATCCCATGGGGCTTTGCAAGATTCTCACAGCCACAGACATGACTCCCAGAGAGAGATGCTTCATGGGATTTGTAGTTTCACCACAGCTGGATGGCCGCAGTTTGGACATTCCTGGTCTAGACTATTGTAAGTTGCTAATTGCCAATTTGGACATCTCTGGTCTAGACCAACATTTCCCCATCTTTCAGTTATGGGTCCTTTTAAAATTTTGCAAAATCTCAAGGCACCCCAGTCTAAAATGTAAAAAATTACATATGGTTCCCCCAAAATCTATTCCAGACCCTTATCCAAGTTGGAGCCTGGTATAAATTTTAAGGGGTGGGGGATTAAAAAAATAATAATAATGTGGAGTTCCACACTTCACATCAGAGCTCCCCTTTCACATCAGAAGTCCCCCCTTCCCAACAGGAGCCCCCCCCCCTCCCGAG